GCTCACCAATGACCGAGAAGCACAGGATCCTCATTGCTACACCTGCTACTCAACAAACAGGAAGCTGCTGTATGATGGAATTTCTGAACTGAGTGCAGCCTGAAGTAGGAATTCGGTGCCCCGTTTCACTACCGTTCCACTACCGTGTTTGATCTCCGGATCTTCACCTTTTGCACTTCACATCTTGAGAGGATATGAGCCTGATTCTTTTCGGTTGGCTTGTTGGGTTTTTTTGTTTGTTTTGTTTGTGGTGTGTTTGGGTGTTTGTTGGTGTTTGGTTTTTGGTTTCTGTTGCTGCGCCTCTTTGAGTCAGGCTCGTATCTCCTCACCCCACTATTTGAATTCATTTAAGGTGACTTGTGCCTCTCGGCACACACAGCGCCCGTACCCGTGCAAAAAAAAAGGGCCACTCTTCCGACGGCTCCGGCTCGCTACGTTGCAATCCCTACTTACCAGGAGATAATTTTTCTGGATGTGCAGCGCCCAGTGCACAGTGGAGTGCACAGCAGCGGCCTGCTGTTTGGACATGCAGCGGACTTGGCAGGTTCTTCCCGATGGAAGCCACCGAACGCCTGGCGGCTCCCACATGCAGCCTGCCTGCTGAGAGGGACGAGGCATTTGGGCCAGAGACGGTTCTTTGCCTCGTAAAGGGAGCACGAGGTCTGAGCAGGAATGGTCTCATTCAGACGTCAACATCAATCACTTCGTCCGTGGCGCCCCTCTCTGTTTCTTCCGCTCGTTCTCCTTCTGTATGCTCCCTTTGGTCTGCGGCCCTCGTCGCTTCTGTGGCAACTGGACTCGCTGGGATTGCATTCATGACATTCTTGTATTTTGTCACCTTCGCTCATGGAGGTGATTGTCTCTATCGGTGCCTCTTCATCAGAAGGCTCCGTATCATTGTTCTGAGAGCACACATTGTCTTCTTCTGTGCTGCCTATTGTAATGGGGGAAGTAGGGGATGCCGTTGCTGGGCTTCTGCTGTCTGGCTCAGGCATCTCACTGGGGCGCAGCTTCTTCACTTCCCTCTGAGCTGGTGTCAGTGAGACTGATTTCAGCCAAGGCAACAGCTTCCTGTGTGTTGTGCGAGTCAGTGGCATCAGCCGGGTGCATGTGTTGTTGACGCCAGTAACAACCATTTTGCAACAGGCCTGGTCGAGGGGGAAGACGAAGGGGGGATTCCGGTTGGTTCAGCTCAATGTTCCACCTCCAGGCATCATAGAAGTGGGTCTTATGGAGTGATTCGAACTGATACTCCTTTGCCTTGTTGGCAGCATCATCAGCTTGCCCTGGGGTGCAGCGGCTGCAGCTGCCAACGCTAAACCTATCACCCCCTTTGCGGCCAATGGCTGCACCTCCACCTCCTGCAGGGGTAACCGCAGACATGGAAAAAACAGGCATGAAGCGGCCTGCCTCCATAGGCAGTGCTAAATGATGGTCATTCTGAACTGAGTGCAGCCCAAGCTTAGACTTCATTGCTCCGTTTCACACCCTTGTTGGATCTTCAGATCTTCACCCTTTTCTCACTTTTCGAGCGGATATGAGCCTGTTCCGCTTCGTTTTGGTTTTGGTTGTTTTGTGTTTGGTTGTTTGTTTGTTTTGCTTTCTGTTGTTGGGCCTCTTTGGTTCAGGCTCGTATCTTCTCATCCTACTCTTCGAATTCATCCAAGGTGACTTGTGCCTCTCGGCACACACAGCGCCCGTACCCGTGCAAAAAAAAAGGCCTGCCTCCACAGGCAGTCACAACAGCTCGAGTGGACCCGGAAAGCACATCCTCCAATAGTCCAACAAGCCCGGCTGAGCAGGGAAACCAGGGTGCAGCTGAGGCCCCCACCCCCCAAACAGCCTCACAACCAAAGCCGCAAGGACCCCTGGCGGTCAAATCCAAAGCAGCAAAACCGGCCATGGACCAGCAGCAGAGGGGCCCAGAACAAGGGCTGATCAATGCAATACATTCCCGACTTCAAACACCTCCGGCGCCACCGACAGGTCTGCTCAGCGTTGTCACAGCAAGACCTCCCGCAATGGGTGCCACCGAGCCGCAAATGCCTGCGGCGCCTGCCAATGACCAAAGCACTCACACATCAACAGAGGCTGCTGCCCCACCAAAGAAATATACCTCCAGGAGGTAGAAGAACAGTCTGGATCGGTGGACACCGAGATTACCCAGCGTGCAGAGCAGAGAGCGATGCATATAGTACACCGCTACCAAACACTCTCAGTCGAAATGGCTGCCCGCGCAAGTGCAGAGACTGCAGAGACGCTCGAGGCTCTGCCCCCTGTGGCGCCCCCGGTCAGTTTGTATGCTAACTTGCCGCAAGAGTGGCCCTCAGCACGCCTTAGTGTCCAATTGCGCCACATTGGGGTACTGCTTAGGGTTACCCTCAACCGCCGAGTTGCTGAGCTCAGTTTTAGAGGGATCGAATTTTGCCGGCTGCCGCGGGAAGTCATGAAAGACATTTGCCATGACTTCGATAATATCTGTGGAGAAATGGCTAATCGACTAGCGTCGCTCTTCGCATTTCTCAAACCAGCAACCAATGGGACCAAACACTCTGACCCCATGGGCTTGTCGCTGTATGCTGACCCAGGCTATTGGCTGTATGGCCTCGTGTCCTTTTGCGCCAAAGCATGCGAGTCCAAAACAGTGGAGGCAAATGGTGGATGAACGAGGTACGCCGGCGCTAGAAGCTACTGGCAAGACCCTGGCGCTTATGCAGACAGTGGTCATGTCCTTTGGCCGCAATCAAAGCGTCGGCAAACCGGACCTCCCTATTCATCACCTGCATGTACACTTTCCCGTACAACTGGTACACAAACTTGTTGAACGCATGGACAGTTTGCGTTTCACAGATGCCACGCCAGAGGATGGGAAGAAATACAAGCACAACCTCGAAAGTGAGGCCAACAGCCCATACATTGTGGTGGGTACATACGAAGGGGTATGCCCCTCTAGTACCTTCGCTGCCCTTCCGGACACGCCTAGACTAGCAGGCGCATATGCATATGGAATCCTTGACGGCAATCTGGGACAAATGGTCTCTTTTCAGTCCACCTATAAAAGCACCCTTCGAATTGAAGTACCAGTGTGGCCGGAGGTACAGCAAGCAGTGCTGACCACAAATAAGGCCAAGCGCTATCCGGGAAGCCCGAAGACTGCCCCTCCCCTTCCCCCCGATGGAGGCAACAGCCAGGGAGTAGTACCAGAACCACACACTCAGGTAAACATGACTAAAGAGCCCACAGGTGCAGGGAACGTTGAAGAGGAGGAGGAGGAGGAAGTTGCCGCCGGATGGACAAGGTTGCTTCTCCTTCCGACAAAGCCTCTTGCTCAGAGCCAAGGATACTTATGCGGCGCGCAGCAATGGCAATAAGTACGAAATAATCTCCAAATGGCTCCTCACTGGCCTTGCGGTAGTCCTCTCTCGACCCAATTGGCATATTCTGGCCAAAAGATGCACCTTGACGTCCACCCCTCGAGAACTACTCAGGCTCTACTATCGACAAGGACACCCGGCTGACCTAGCTGACAAAACAAAGCTGCCTTATGCTCTCCCTCGGCATAATGCCGTCCAGGATGCCGAGTGGCAACACACAGTCGAGTGGTTCAGCCATGCAAGATACCTTCAGGACATGGAAGCTGTCATCGCAGAGCGCACATGGTCAGGGATCGACACTTTCTATACGAAAATGGACCAAACAAATCCAATTAAAGCTGCCCAGGCAGAACCTGAGCGAGCAAGCTCACCAATTGAGCAAACCATGGCTGCGGCGAGCACTTCTTCTGGCCTCTGCCCTGATGACAAGGCAAAAAAGAATAGTGCTGTTTAGGCGTGTGCAGCACTGGTATGAAAACGCAAACGTGGCTGACATTGGCTCAAACCAGTCATAGTTGCAACAGTTGCACGGTTGGCCTCTGGTGGTTACTTGATGGATAAGAGGCTGCGGCAATGATGACTTTGCCGGCCCCTGCCCCTGCCCCCTCAAGTTACCTAGACAATCCAACGTTGCCCAAAGGACACTATCAGCCACAAACGACAATATTGAGAGCAAACGTTGTCGTTTGCATCGGATGTGATTGGCAATCAAATTATATAAGCATGAGGCTTTTTATACCATCGCTTTCTGCGAGATCAGGAAAACAGAGTATAGCAAAACACAAAAGGGATATGAAGCGAAAAATTGAGTAAAAACTAAAAACGACAGCGGCGCAAACGACCACGGCGCAAACGAGCACGGTGCAAACGATCATTGTTGCACGACGCAAACGACCACGGTGCAAACGATCACGGTGCAAACGATCATTGTTGCGCGACGCAAACGACCACGGTGCAAACGATCACGGTTGCGCGATGGAAACGACCATGATTAAAACAAAGATATGTATACACATATAACAATGTGTGCGCTGCCAAAGTAAAGTCGAGCAAACACAGTTGTGTCACGCATGTTTTTTTACAGGGTCTACTTTGGCAACGAAGGGCTGCAGAAACAGGGAAGGAAAAAGTACGAAGACTTTGTTCTCATTCATGTTGTTTGGATTTGTTTTTAAACACCGAAGGGAAACCAGACCGTGGAGTCTTTGCTTCATGCAGTGCGCTTTGCGGATGGAGCTGTTGCCAGCCGTGGATCGTAGAATCATTTGCAAACATTTCGAAAAAACATCAACATCAAATAAAAAACACATCCCAACTTCACACAACATCAACAAAAACACCACATCCCAACTTCACACTTCTCTTGACAAACGCTACGAAACTGTTCTAGACATGAGCGGTGCCCGCGACTGTTCCAAACATACATCGGCCGCCGGCCGCGTGGATTGCATGGACGGTTGCAGGCCATCGGTTTTTCTTGCGCCGACGACTCAGTATGTTCAGCTTTCAAGACGTAGCTTCGGCTAGCTTGAGACGACCCCCACACAAACACCTGATGGGAATAAGTCTTGAACAGGAGTATCTTTACGGTAACTTTTGAAGGCGTCTAAATACACAACCCAGTTTCTATCCCCATCGGCGTTCTGTCTTGTCAAAGTCATTTAGGCAAATCGCTAAGCACAGCAAATAGCGTTGGAGCACTCTCTGAGTGCAAGTGCGGCCGTGACAGCGAATTGCAACAGCCTTGATCTTCCCGAGGAAGGATTCCTCACTAAAGTTGTGATACATGGATGGGTTGATCCGAGTACTGATCACTTCTTCCCCCATGTGGAAATGGTAGTGGGACTTGCATCGGAGCTTAAAGAGCAATTCCCTTCTAGAATATAAATGAGCACTGAGCCAATAGTAGGCCTTCAGGTGTAGATCTAGACATGTCTTTGCCTCACTTGCTTCGTCAGTCGTGAAGATCATTCCCCCATGGTCCATCAGCTCAATGAATCTCTGAAGGCCCCAAACCGATGTCGCCAGCACGTTGAGGACTGGTTCCTGGGCGGCTGGGCGGGTCCAAATGTTTCGCGTTTAAACCTGTTGGGTAGATTCGGAAGAACCCGAACACAAGACACAGGTTTTGGTGCATGTTCAATCAAGTAGCAGATGGGTTCGCGTCTGCCACCATCTGGCATTCTTTGGAGAGCCACCAAATGATCAATTTAACATGCGCTGCCTTGAATCGAGACCCCAATTCAAAGTATCCATCTTCCCCACCAAGATTAGCAGAAGTGAACCGCGGCTTGGCAGGAATACGGATCCTTGACTGGTTATATATAGAGGTAGTCCCCAGAACACCAAGAATACAAAACACACCCAAACCTGAAAGCTTTACATGTTCGGTGGGGCAGGAAGCTTGTGTTGGGCGCAAACATCTCGCATGCGTTGGTGAACATCAGTTAGTACAGCGTCCATGCCCCCAGCATCGCTGCCACCACCGAACCCACAGTAGTCAATTAAGACTTTGATGGCGCTAGCGCACAAATCTCTACCAGTTCCCAGGTAGCAATTGTGCATCCAGTCATAGCTGATGGTGTAAAAATGAAATCCGGGCATGTCCTTCCAGGGGGAAAGTGATGATGCCTCTAAGTTCATATACGTCCGATGGTTTATCCCAGTCAGCTGCCGTATGGACATGTAGTAGGGACTATCTTTGGAACTGCGTGTCCTGCGCTTTCCTGTTGCTACACCATGTTTTGAAGAAGTCTAACTTCGCCAACTTGGGGTAGACGCAATCACCAAAGCAACGAAGGGTCTCCAAGCACCACTCTTGATATGATGTCCATTCTGCCTCCTCCAACTTGGACATCACCTGGGATTCCAAGTCGTTGTGGACACTCTGGACAAGTTGATGGAGCCGGTTCTCCTTCTCCTCCTGTCGGCTGTAATGATTGATGGCCTTCCCCATCCAGCCTGACGAGACCTGGGAATCACGATGCGATGAGCTGCAGGATGAGTCAACCGATGTAGCCGACACACCAGACTTGTCAGACTTGGGCGATTCGCCAAGACGAAGTGTGGGTGAGTCTCCACCCGTTTGCAAGACGGCATTAGACTCAGACTCAGAGCCATCGCTTTCATCGTCATTCTCAGAATGATGACCACAAGAAGGCTCACGCTCGACAAGTTGATCATCATCTTGACCACGAGAAGGCCCACGCCCGACAATTTCATCACCATCATCAATGGGCTCACCATCAAGCGATTCTGAATCACTTGGTTCTGAGTCTGGCTTCGCAACACTGGCCCAACCGTCATTCTCAGCCGGACCATCCGGCAAAGCGGCTTCGTCACCCGAGTCTGGCGCCTTGGTGGGTGACCTTTCAAGGAAACTCTTCAAGTGGGTGATCTTCTCGTCTTGGCCATTGGTTTTGTTGGATCTCCACAAGTTGCGAAGAGCGCCAAGTACCCTCTTGAGTTTCACACCCTCCTGTCCTGCGAGGGAAAGCTTGCCCTCATTCTCCCTTGGAACAAGCATCTTCTTGTCCAACATAGAGTCGAGCATCAAAAAGACATCTGTCAGAAAGTAGGCAGACGGGACCTGCGCATGCGGCTTCGGTCTGTCCAAACACCCACGAGATATAACAAAACGGCGGAGCTAATCGTTGGGTTTGTTTTGAAACAAACGAAACAAACCTATTGGCAATCCTGGCCTTGGATGGCCATGTCTTCACAACTGGAAGCAACCACACGTAGTTGCGGCTGATCTCTTTGGCACTCGGAGTTCGGATCATGCTTGTGTCACCCAGATCCACCAAAGCAGACCCCTTGTAGTCAGGGTCATTGAAAATCGCTATGAGTCCAAGCGGGAGGTTTTCCTTCATGAACTTGGCCAAAGATACCTCAGATCAAGTGCACATTCCACCCAGTTGTATGGAGACAGGGTGACAACCTTCGCTATAATCATTTCGGCTTGTGAAAAGGAGCGCTGAGCACTAACCCCAAAGACGAATCGAACCGCCAAATAGTTTCTGTGCGTTTGTGGGTTGGGGCTTGGCCGGACAAAGTTTCCAAACTCGGAGTTTATACCAAGATGCGACATCTCCTTCGGTCCACGAAATTTTCCCAGGCCCTTGGAACAATCGGCGACATCCCTGGTCCCCAAGTCTATTCTAGGTCCGGTGTCCCTTCTCTTAAAGGTTGAGTTTCAATTTCATGCAACTTGCCGTCATCTAAGGAAACCTGAGGAGAAGGCGGACTGAGCGCCACTTCTGGGGCAGCTTCGAGGCCATGTTGATCGCGGGGCAGAGCACGAGGTCAAGGAAACAAACTTGACTGCGGTTTTTCGTGAAAGGAGACTGCACTGCATGTTTGTTGGACTGCCACTTAAGAAGCTGAAGAATTGAACGCAACAACGCCCCCACAAATTGTTCCACGACCCACGCAGTGCATGGGCACTTGGTGAAAAGGCGAAAACGCTCTCCCCCACGTTCCGCCTCGGGTCGGGCAAAGAAGCGATGCCAAGCCGACTATCTAGAAAAGGATTGTTTCAAGAATGTTTCACTGGACTTGACCGTTTTGAAGATATAAGTGTTGAGTGTTGGCTCTGATGAATCGTCGGCATGGCTCCGCTTTAGCTGGGATTCCATGCCGCGTTGACAGCTGCAAGAGCTCCCCCTCCAAATGGCCATGGTACACTGCAAGCGCACCGAATGGCCCCCTCGAAGTGGTATAGCTGTAGATTGTTGCTACATTTTTACCGATGAGCCTCTTTCGCCTTCAAGAATCAAGAACACCCGAGGCAAAATCAAACAAGCGATGTGTAGGTGGCATGTTTCATATACTGCAAAGCTGTGCGCGGCTGAACCGCGGTTGGGATGCTCGAGCCGGCCGTCACCTGGTGGCCAAAACAGGCGTTTCCGATGCGTCCGTGAGACCACAAACCCATGATCAAAAATAGATGTGTACCTGTGCGTGTTTTTTTCGAAGGCCACGGGCCATAAAGGTGATACAGAGGTATGCAAAAAAACGAATCTAAGAAACTGTCAGACAAACACAACCTGCACCACACATACTTGTTCTTGTTTGCGCGCCACTTGTGCAACACTTGCGATTTTTTAATGCGCGCGCTCACGCAGCATGCCATGTATGCGGTCAGCCCGCTTGATAGCATGCAGGGTCGAACACTTTGCAGGCAAGAAAGCTGACAACTTTGCAGGCGTCCATTGCCATCATAGTAGCGGAGCTGGGGCACCCCCAAAAGCAGCTACAAACGGCAGCTTTTCTACAAAAGGCAAGCGCCGGTGTAATTTGGAGAAACGTTGTCCAAAGGACAGGTTTGGATTGTCTAGGTAGTCACCATGGCAGGCAATGAACTTGAAGTGATAGTTCCGGTCAGCATTTACCATCATTGGGAAATGCTGGAAGACCATTTGGTCGAACTGCTATCCAAAAGCTTCGGCCTAGACACTTTTGGATGTGAGTTGACGCTCCTTACAGAGGACACCCTCTGCCCCCTCAGTGACCCTATCCATGAAGAGCTTTGGGATGGTAAGGGATTTCATTTGGTCATCCAAAAAAGCTTACGAAAAGTGAGCTTGAAGGAGCAAATCCAACGAGATGTATATGAAGATCACCCCAAAGCCATTTGGGTCCCGGCAAATAAATCAGGCATCCTCCCTGCCAAAGCTTTTTTCTCCATTGCCCGCCTTCGGCATGTGCAAGTAGAAGCAGGCTTTCACACCATTGAGCGGCAGGCGTGGCGCTATTGCCACACCCTCACCATTGTCAAATTGCCCAGCTCCGTGGTTGCAATTGAGAATGCTGCCTTCCAAGGGTGCTATGCGCTCACCACCGTGGCAATGCCAGGATGCGTGTCTCTTGGAGCCAGACTCTTTGCAGAATGCTGTGCCCTCGAGCGGGTAGGGGTGCTCACAGAAAACTCTTGCCGACTGGCCAGTGGAGCTACCATTTCCCCCTATGCCTTTGAGGGACGTGAAAGGCTTGCACAGATTGGCCTCCCCCAGACCAAAGCCATTACTGATAAACGGGCTTCGTCGTCCTCCCCAGTAGGCTTGCCAACTGGATGCTTCCATTCGGCAGGAATCCAAGTGATTTGTATGCCCCGAGAAACCACCTTTATCGGGCATAAGGCCTTTGCGCGGTGTCAGCAATTAACCGAAGTTGATCTCTCGCAGACACAAGTGGACATTGTGCACATGCAAGTCTTTGCACACTGCCAGTCCTTGGCGCGAATATCCCTGCCAAGGCATTTAACGGAAATTAGTGCAGAGGCCTTCGAAGCCTGCGGATCGTTATGTACAGTAGCCCTCCCCCAGCAGCTTCGTTACATTGGACACAGGGCATTTGCAGGGTGCAGTAAGTTAGTGTGCCTCACCTTTCGAAGTACGAAAGCCAGCCGACGACGCCTGGATATTGCTGCCAATGCTTTTGAGGGGTGTCAGACATTGACTATCCCTGGAGGGGTTTGCTATCTATCCTTGCGTGGCAGTCAAGGCACTCAAGGGAGCATATCCCGGGGGGTCGAGATTACAAAATGGAACAACAGTACCAGGTGAAAAGCACTCCGACGGCTGCCCGTGCAGTTGTCCGTCTCCCAACCTCCATAGTGAAACCATAGTGAAACCATCAGATAGGTAAGGCCGATTGTGGTCTGCCGCAGGACCTTTAGGCTCGAAGACAGGCGCACACTGCCGGGCCAAGGACTGTAGGCCATGATAATAGCAGACCACATATCAGTGACTAGCTCACAATGGAGCGATGAAAGGTCAATGGTCTTACACCTGATCTTAACCACACTGGCGGGAGAGGAAACCCAGCTGACAATCGAGCTGCAGGAATTTGATCGCCTTCATGAATTCGAAAATGCAGTCTTGGAGCAACTCCCCAAGCTAGGAGAGAGCAGCACATTTGGCTGTGAGCTGGACTTTGTCTGCCGTGACTCACAAGAGAAATTAGTGGACCCAATATGGCACACCTTACGAGATAACAATTGTTTTATTACTGTCATCTCGAGCCCATGCTTTGAGGAAGTTGACCACAAGGGGCAAATGAAAGGTGATGCGAGAGCCATTCGAGTCCCGTATCACACCACAGACAGAGTTCTCCCGCAAGCCTTCTCTTATGTCATGGAGGTACGGCGTGTGGATGTTGACGCAGGGCTCCGCATTATAGGGGAGGCTGCATGACGTAACTGCCAACGCCTCCAGATTGTGCACTTAGCTAGCACTGTCATCTGCTTAGAAACACGAGTCTTCCGCAGATGCTATGCACTCCGCACGGTGATTGCCCCTGGCTGCAAGCAGTTTGGGATCCAAGTCTTTGAAGATTGTTGCTCCCTGATGCAAGTTGGAACTAGTGAGGATACGGCCAATCAATTAGCCCCGCAGGCAGAGTTGATGCCTAGGGCCTTCGAAAAATGCACAGCGTTGCGACACCTCGATTTGGGGCAGTCAGAGCACAACACTCCTGGTCGGACACGGTGCTTGCCAGAGTGCTGCTTCCTACATGCTGGAATAACCTCCCTGTCCCTGCCTCCAAACTTTAATTGGATGGGACCAGCGGCCTGCGAACGTTGCCTGCAACTGCAACAGGTAAACCTCTCAAGCGCAGAAGTGACTGAGATCATGGGCTCTGCCTTTGCACACTGTAAACACTTGCAATCCCTACGGCTTCCA